CAGTTTGGCCTTAGTCAGTTCAGTTTGTGCATAGCCAGAGCAGTGTGTCCTCGGTCACTACAGTCAGTCCTTAGTCAGTACAGTTTGTCCATAGTTATTACAGTTTGTCCATAGCCAGAGCAGTGTGTCCTCGGTCACTACTGTCCGTCCTTAGTCAGTACAGTTTTTCCATAGTTATTACAGTTTGGCCTTAGTCGGTTCAGTTTGTGCATAGCCAGAGCAGTGTGTCCTCGGTCACTACTGTCCGTCCTTAGTCAGTACAGTTTGTCCAAAGTTATTACAGTTTGGCCTTAGTCAGTACAGATTGTCCATAGTTATTACAGTTTGGCCTTAGTCAGAACAGTTTGTCCATAGTCAGTATAGCTTGTCCGTAGTTATTACAGTTTGTCCTCGGTCAGAACAGTTTACCCATAGTCAGTATAGCTTGTCCGTAGTTATTACAGTTTATCCTCGGTCAGAACAGTTTACCCATAGTCAGTATAGCTTGTCCGTAGTTATAAATAAATAAATATACAACATTTGATAAAGCTCCCTATCTAGCTAACATAAGCCAATCTAAAGCGCTTCAACTTATTACAGTTTGTCCTCGGTCGGAACAGTTTGTCCTTAGTCAGTCTAGTCTGCTTGTCCCAATCAGTCTGGTCAGCTTGTCCTTATCAGTCTGGTCAGCTTATCCTCGGTCTGGTCAGCTTGTCCTTAGTCTGGTCAACTTGTTCTTAGTCTGGTCAGCTTGCCTTTATCAGTGTGGTCAGCTTGTCCTCAGTCTGGTCAGCTTGTCCTTATTCTGGTCAGCTTTTCCTTATAAGTGTGGTCAGCTTGTCCTCAGTCTGGTCAGCTTGTCCTCAGTTTGGTCTGCTTGTCTTAATCAGTCCGGTCAGCTTATCCTTATCAGTGTGGTCAGTTTGTGCTCAGTTTGGTCAGCTTGTCCTCAGTCTGGTCAGCTTGTCCTTAGTGCTTTATATGTCACTGAGTCATGGTCACCCAAAGACGTATATATATTATGGCTTTATATGTCACTGAGTCACGGTCACCCAGAGACGTATATACCATGGCTTTATATGTCACTGAGTCACGGTCACCCAGAGACGTTTATTCTATGGCTTTATATGTCACTGAATCACGGTCACCAAGAGACGTATATACTATATGGCTTCATATGTCTCTGAGTCACGGTCACCCAGAGACGTATATACTATGGCTTTATATGTCTCTGAGTCACGGTCACCCAGAGACGTATATACTATGGCTTTATATGTCTCTGAGTCACGGTCACCCAGAGACGTATATACTATGGCTTTATATGTCTCTGAGTCACGGTCACCCAGAGACGTATATACTATATGGCTTTATATGTCTCTGAGTCACGGTCACCCAGAGACGTATATACTATATGGCTTTATATGTCTCTGGGTCACGGTCACCCAGAGACGTATATACTATGGCTTTATATGTCTCTGAGTCACGGTCACCCAGAGACGTATATACTATGGCTTTATATGTCTCTGAGTCACGGTCACCCAGAGACGTATATACTATGGCTTTATATGTCTCTGAGTCACGGTCACCCAGAGACGTATATACTATGGCTTTATATGTCTCTGAGTCACGGTCACCCAGAGACGTATATACTATGGCTTTATATGTCTCTGAGTCACGGTCACCCAGAGACGTATATACTATGGCTTCATATGTCTCTGAGTCACGGTCACCCAGAGACGTATATACTATGGCTTTATATGTCTCTGAGTCACGGTCACCCAGAGACGTATATACTATGGCTTTATATGTCTCTGAGTCACGGTCACCCAGAGACGTATATACTATGGCTTTATATGTCTCTGAGTCACGGTCACCCAGAGACGTATATACTATGGCTTTATATGTCTCTGAGTCACGGTCACCCAGAGACGTATATACTATGGCTTTATATGTCTCTGAGTCACCGTCACCCAGAGACGTATATACTATGGCTTTATATGTCTCTGAGTCACGGTCACCCAGAGACGTATATACTATGGCTTTATATGTCTCTGAGTCACGGTCACCCAGAGACGTATATACTATGGCTTTATATGTCTCTGAGTCACGGTCACCCAGAGACGTATATACTATGGCTTTATATGTCTCTGAGTCACGGTCACCCAGAGACGTATATACTATGGCTTTATATGTCTCTGAGTCACGGTCACCCAGAGACGTATATACTATATGGCTTTATATGTCTCTGAGTCACGGTCACCCAGAGACGTATATACTATATGGCTTTATATGTCTCTGAGTCACGGTCACCCAGAGACGTATATACTATATGGCTTTATATGTCTCTGAGTCACGGTCACCCAGAGACGTATATACTATATGGCTTTATATGTCTCTGAGTCACGGTCACCCAGAGACGTATATACTATATGGCTTTATATGTCTCTGAGTCACGGTCACCCAGAGACGTATATACTATATGGCTTTATATGTCTCTGAGTCACGGTCACCCAGAGACGTATATACTATATGGCTTTATATGTCTCTGAGTCACGGTCACCCAGAGACGTATATACTATATGGCTTTATATGTCTCTGAGTCACGGTCACCCAGAGACGTATATACTATATGGCTTTATATGTCTCTGAGTCACGGTCACCCAGAGACGTATATACTATATGGCTTTATATGTCTCTGAGTCACGGTCACCCAGAGACGTATATACTATATGGCTTTATATGTCTCTGAGTCACGGTCACCCAGAGACGTATATACTATATGGCTTTATATGTCTCTGAGTCACGGTCACCCAGAGACGTATATACTATATGGCTTTATATGTCTCTGAGTCACGGTCACCCAGAGACGTATATACTATATGGCTTTATATGTCTCTGAGTCACGGTCACCCAGAGACGTATATACTATATGGCTTTATATGTCTCTGAGTCACGGTCACCCAGAGACGTATATACTATATGGCTTTATATGTCTCTGAGTCACGGTCACCCAGAGACGTATATACTATATGGCTTTATATGTCTCTGGGTGACCGTCACCCAGAGACGTATATACTATGGCTTTATATGTCTCTGAGTCACGGTCACCCAGAGACGTATATACTATGGCTTTATATGTCTCTGAGTCACGGTCACCCAGAGACGTATATACTATGGCTTTATATGTCTCTGAGTCACGGTCACCCAGAGACGTATATACTATGGCTTTATATGTCTCTGAGTCACGGTCACCCAGAGACGTATATACTATGGCTTTATATGTCTCTGAGTCACGGTCACCCAGAGACGTATATACTATGGCTTTATATGTCTCTGAGTCACGGTCACCCAGAGACGTATATACTATGGCTTTATATGTCTCTGAGTCACGGTCACCCAGAGACGTATATACTATGGCTTTATATGTCTCTGAGTCACGGTCACCCAGAGACGTATATACTATGGCTTTATATGTCTCTGAGTCACGGTCACCCAGAGACGTATATACTATGGCTTTATATGTCTCTGAGTCACGGTCACCCAGAGACGTATATACTATGGCTTTATATGTCACTGAGTCACGGTCACCCAGAGACGTATATACTATATGGCTTTATATGTCTCTGAGTCAAGGTCACCCAGAGACGTATTTACTATATGGCTTTATATGTCTCTTGGTGACGGTCACCCAGAGACGTATATACTATGGCTTTATATGTCTCCGAGTCACGGTCACCCAGAGACGTATTTACTATATGGCTTTATATGTCTATTGGTGACGGTCACCCAGAGACGTATATAGTATGGCTTTATATGTCTCTGAGTCAAGGTCACCCAGAGACTTATTTACTATATGGCTTTATATGTCTCTGAGTCATGGTCACCCAGAGACGTATATACTTTGGCTTTATATGTCTCTGAGTCAATGTCACCCAGAGACGTATATACTATGGCTCTATATGTCACTGAGTCACGGTCACCCAGAGACGTATATACTATATGGCTTTATATGTCTCTGAGTCACTGTCACCTAGCGACGTATATACTATGGCTTTATATGTCTCTGAGTCACCAAAAATGTTTGCTTCTAACGGTTGCCTCATGCTAACCGAGGCAGAAAGAATCACTTTCATTCCATACGTAGAGGAACTTGCCGTGGAAATGTTGATATATCTCTATAGCCGCAAAGAATATAGCATAACCTTAGTCTAGGTTCAGTTGCACAAAGTCTTTTTAAATTAAAGGAAAATTTCAAACTTGTTTTTCTATAAAGCATCATTTGGGTTGGGGGAAAAACTTTCAGAAATTTCCCGAAGTTCAGCAACGCTTTCTAATAGTACAATTGCGATAAGGAATTACCTGAAGTTACAGAACGGGCATGAAAGAGAGCCCAGTAAGTTATTAAGAAATAAATAAAATTTACACTAAAATCCTGGCACGGGTCTTTTATTTCTCTTTTATTGATAACAACATTATTCTTGATTGCAATTTGATATAAAATACTATGGTTCAATATTTTTTCTTTTAAAAAGATGATAAAATCCATTAATATCAGTTACGAGTTGGAATGAAAACGATATATTAGGCTAATGAATAGTTAATTTTTCACTGCCGTAATATCGGTGCATCTTTTATTATTGACATATCGATGTACAAATTATATTGTAAATAAGTTGGATTTGATTACTTCTTTACTTCCTTTTCTTAATGTTACACAAAAATTAAATATTATATAACACTTTAAAGTTGGAACCTTAATTAGAACTGACCGCCGGATACTTCAGTCATTATTTACTTGATCACAGCTATAATAAGCTGAAAAAATAAAGTATTTCTCCAAGTGGCATTTTCTCAGATATTAAATAAACAGTCATCAGTATGGAAAACAAAATATTAAGTCTGCTGCAATAATTTTGATTTAATGACATTTTTTCTGATATCTTGATCGAAATAAGAAACCAACTCTGATTTTCGCGCCAATCGCGGGCAAGCTTTGGATTATCGTTCTTGATCTGATCGCCTCGAGGTGTCGTTGCCAGCATCCGCCATATGTAATGGAGAAACTGTCACCGATGTCAACATTGTGATATCCTCTAGGAAAATGACTTACGATTTACCGAGTGTGTCCTATTTGGCATTATACGTTGTGTCCATGCACATTGTCAGCAGTAACTCTCGGAGTTCGACCGGGGCTAATCATTGGAGGCTCAACGCAGACGAGGGGAAAGTAGTCCAAGCTGAGGATTCAGACAGTGACGGATTCGCAGATAATGGGTTATTGAATATACTTACACGTAAAGTAACTGCAAATGGCGAATGGAGAGTGGAAGACGAACAAAAACAAATACCTTGTGACACAATATCAGAAAAAACAGACAGGTATACATTACAAAACGTGATGTCAGGGTCTATTCATAAGTTTCACTTTTAGGCCACTGATTAAAGTTTAATAATCAGATGAATTAAGAAGATTCGGTACATGGTTTGTAGGGTTTAGCTTCTTTAAACAGATAAGGTAATTTAGGACGTGCAATTTTGTTCAAAATGTAGGCGTGTGTAATAGAGGCAGCATGCAATCGGATAAAGGTACTGAAGCACCAGCATATCTGCCAGGCTTAAATAGTCGGTGTAACAGGAATTTGAAGGAAAGAGAATAATGTATGCACAGGTACTAGCCTCGTCTGTCAATACACCTATAATATAATCAGGGTTGCTAGCTCCGTCATCCCCATAGTAAAATGACCGGTTCTAGAAAGAATGCGATTTTGTCATATTAAATCGTTCATAGTTAGTATGACGCTGGGAGCAGTCTAGATTGACAGGAAAATATTTTTTTCTTTTATTTGATGTATGATTTGCCAAATATCATGCAGTATAATTTTCGGTAGACTTCATGAGACATTGAAAAATGGTCGGATTTCAGTCGGTCAGACACTGTGCTGTCCATGGTTATGACATGCTAAATCCCTAGTGGGTAGCACAAAACATATGACATGTGCGCTATTCAATGTCGGTACAGTGTTTCTATGATAGAAAACAAACTTATTTGTATGATAGGTAATGGCTTAATATTATCATGTGATGTCGGGACACCCAATTCCAGTTTTCAAGCTGGTCAGGCTGACGATCGGAAATCTGAACAGAGCCTGCCATTTTCTCTTAACTTTTGTGACCTCAACACTGATTGGCTTCTAAATTTAACAGACCAATTAGCACTGAGGTCACAAAAGCAACCTTGATTATATTATAGGTGTACTGACAGATGAGGCTAGTACCCGTGGTGTATGTGCTTCCACCAGGGATCGAACCCGCAATCCCTAGGTTCCTAGCTATAGGTAAAGGGGAATTCCCTCTAGCTCGAAGTTAGAAGGTGACCAACATCCAAGTGTACAATTAAAATCTACCTCGCTACTCCCCATTTTTAAAAGTGTTCGCCCTCGAACACCTCAACCCAGGTTTTAACTCCCTGTCATCACAGGGAGGGCCAGTGACACCATTTGTAACAGGAAAGAGAATAGTGTGCTTCAACTCGGGATCAAACCCACTATCCCTAAGTTCCTAGTCGGTCGCTCTACCACTGAGCTAAAGAGAAATTAACTCTAGCTCGAAACTAGAAGGCGACCTTAATCATATATATGTACAATTAAAATCTGCAACAATAGCTAAATTTGACTATATAGTCAAATAAGAAAAAACACGCCAGTACTGGTCGTAATTATCTTGTGCACATCGATTAAAGTGTTGACCTTACAGGTGAGTTGGTGAAATGAAGATTTCTAAAAACTTAATTTTCATTCATTTGTTAAATTCCATCATTGTGTTTTTCCTCAGTCAACATACATCACTTATTAGTAATAAACTAGGGTGTGTCTATTCAATATGGCGTCTGCTTTGTTGGTGTTACCAAAGATAAGCATACCGATAGGGGTGGAATTAAAAAGATATGTTAACAGTTCCTAAGGGTTTGTTGAAGTAGAGATCTACTGGTCCTGTTTGAAGTGCACTGGTCCTGATAACAAGGGCTGCAGGCCCAAGCGAGCACCAAAGGTACTTGATACGTCTTCTTATACCCCACCAGAAATTTTTAAATATATTTTTTAAAATATCTATGTTACAAGCATTGAGTGTACACTTGACAAAGGGAAACCGAAACCTGGGTTGTAAATAGTTGTGTCCTCGGGGCGAAGACTTATAAAAATGAGGGAAGAATGTTGTGAAACTGGACTGGGTCAATTGTTCATGATAGTAGCTCAATTGGTAGTGTCCTTTTAGAATTACGAAGGTCCTGGGTTGTAACTCTTGTTGCATGACAGGTAAACCAGTTGTTGTGCTTAACTCTTCATTTTAAATGTTATTACTTATTAGTGAAAACAACTAACAGACACTGATACTGAAATGCTTTTATTAATCCCTCGCACCTGAAGTTCGAGGGGATATAGGATTCCGCCCATACATATATATGTTACACTCTTTGTCATCGCTATAGCAACTTCATTTCTCGAAGGAATTTTAGAAACTTCATTTAAGTCTTTGGTATGGCGGCAATGCTTTGAACAAGGTCGCGTTTCAGGTTTCTACATTGAAGGTCAAGGTCACTAGCTAAATATTTTTATAACAACTTTGTCATTGCTCCAGACACTTCATTTCTTAAAGGAATTTCATGAAACTTCATACAAATGCTTAGTATGACAATATCTTCAACAAGTACTTGTTTTGGGTAGCTGCGTTGAAGGTCAAGGTCACTGTTATTATTTTAAAGAAAACTTTGTCATCGCCCTAGCAACTTCATTACTAAACAAAATCTCATGAAACTTCATACAAGTGTTAAGTATGACAATACCTTGAACAATTTGTGTTTTGGGTTACTGCGTTGAAGGTCAGGGTCACTGTTACTATTTTTAGAAAAACTTTGTCATCGCTCTATTGACTTCATTCCTCAACGGAATTTCATGAAACTTGATACAATTGTTTGCCATGACAATACCTTCAACAGATGCAGTCTCAAGAGCAGTTACTGTTACATCATTGAGTTTTCTATTCATTTCCTCATGTACATATGACACACAATGTGTAAATGCAACGGGATTTGTATCACTTGTGATGCCTTGTTTAAAATTAATTTTCTCTTTTAATGGTTGATGAATTTATTTTGTTTGTAGAACTTCTTCAGGTTCCATAGAAAGTAAACCTCCTCCTGAAAAAAAAAAGCTGACTTGTGGAAAACCAGTAAATTATACTCAATATGACCATTTACGAGGAATTGCCAACAGGAATGAACATAGCCACATCCCCGAGCCTGAGGTTGCTATGATGTTTCGGAGAAAGGGTAGTAAAACTTCAGAAATAGATATGACTGAACTGGAGGAAAGACTAAAGAAATCCAAGAAAGATGTAAGACAATTGTTGAAAATGTGGACAGTAAAAAAGACATGGTAACTGGGTCCATTTTAATTTCTAATTTTCATTTCTAGTTGATGTACTGCAGTTCTGGTAATGTCTGAACTAAGGCTTATGAAGACGTCATTTTTCACTACATCTTTGTCTTTACTGTAATCTTGATATTTTGCAAAACAGAATATTTCAGATTGCTGTAGATGAAATTCAAGTAAGCTATACTATTCTATTGAACCCTTTATAGGGTTATAGACACTAACTTATTTTGATAAGTAGTCCATCGGACTAGTCAAACAGATTATTTGCTAGTCCTATGTCAGTGTAACTAGTCCACAGTTTCCTTAAGAAAACACCTCAAGCACCAAACAACAGTAATTGACTGTTGGGGACATAAAATAACTACTGACATTAAGATAAAGTGAGGTTTAGGAAAATGTTGACAGTTATGCAGTATAACCGTCTTTAAAGCAGTTTTTTGAAAACATTATTTTTTGGTTATAATACATCCATTCATTCAAATGATATTGCATTGTGATACCATTTATTAGCTCACCGGGTCCGAAGGACCAAGGTGAGCTTATGTCATACTGTGGCGTCCGTCGTCTGTCCTTCAACAATTTCTTTTAAAAGACTTATTCTTCTTAAGAACTGATTGCAATGTAATTAAATTTGACTGGAAGCATCCCTTGGTGGTGTAGATTCAAAATTGTACAAATGGTTGGGCTGACCCCCCAGGGGGCTGATGGGTGGGGCCAAAAAGGGTTATTTGGCTATATTGCTTTAAGCGACTTCTCTGGAACGAAGAGATTGATATCAACCCTATTTGACTTGAAGCATCCAGAGGTGGTGGGGATTCAAAATTGTACAATTGGTGGGGCTGACCCCCCAGGGGGCTGAGGGCGAGGCCAAAAGGAGCAATTTGGCTATATTGCTAAAAACGACTTCTTCTGTAGAACTATAGCATGGATATCTATCATATTTGGTCGGAAACATTCATGGGAGGCAGGGGTTCAAAATTGTACAAATGGTGGGGCTGACCACCCAGGCTAAGGGGTGGGGCCAAAAAAATGTATTACTTGGGAATGGTTGAGATCCCAACCATATATACAATTACTGAGTATGAAGAAAAGAACGCACATTCGCTTCCAGGATGGCCCTAGGGTATGGCCCCACCCTTGGAGACATAGTCCCTGGGCCATAATTTTAAAACAGTTGAGATCCCCACCCCAAAACTATGTATACAAATGCTGGGCATAAAGAGACGATTGCAGTCACAATATTATAATAGACCCTGGGGTCTGACAGGGACCTACTTTCTTAGTCCCCACCCTATAACCATATATACAATTGCTGAGTTTAAAGAGATGAATGCAAACATACTTCCAGGATGGCTTTGGGGACTGCCCCACCCTTGGAGACTTAACCCCTGGGTCTTAACTTTGAAATGGTTAAGATCCCCACCCCAAAACTATATATACAGTTTTTGGGCATAAAGAGACAAATGCAGTCATGATATTAGAATTGACCCCAGGGTCTGCCCCACCCTTGCAGACTTAACCTCTGGGTCATAATTTTGAAACAGTTGAGATCCCCACCCCAAATCTATATATACAAATGCTGGGCAAAAAGAGACAAATACAGTCATGATATTAGAATTGATCCAGGGGTCCAGCCACAACCCTAGGGACCTAGTTTCTGAGTCACAGCTTGGAAACAGTTGAGATCCCCAAACCATAACCTTACATAAAACTGCTGGGCATGAAAAATCTAATACAGACATGCTACAAGGATTGGCCTTGGGGTCTGGCATGTTCCAATGGATCTCATTTTGAGAATATTTTGCCATGATTGCTTAGATATCCATGTGAGCAATACAGGCCCTCTGGGCCTCTTGTTTTTACATGTCTAAAGGACCAGTTTAGGTTAGATGATTCACTAGTCCTTGCTGTAATCTACCAGTCTTGGTCTACTGTTAGTGTTGAACACTAACCTTGCCTAACTGAATTGACTGTTTATCTTCATTGGCACTGTTGTATGCATTACAATTTACAGGAATGGTCTGCTTGTCATCACAATTACTGATTTAATAATAATATATATATATTGTCCTGTAAATAAGAGATAGTTAAAAGTTTGCTGTTTTTCACAAATATCACAGTATGCCATACATTGTATGTGTCTGATTAACTTCTGTTGTTTCTTTCCAGAAACCTAAGTCTGTGCAGACTCACAGTCAAATAGGAAACTTTTGGAGAATAAAAGGCAACAGTCTGTTTGCTATAGAGTGCTTCCGCAAGGCATTGTCTATATCCCCCAATAATCCAGAGGTTTTACTCTACCTAGCCCGTGTCCTTTTTAACCTACAGTATTTAGACGATGCCATATTCCTTACACGACGCTCGCTGGTGATGCAGCAGCCGAACAATGAGAACTCATGGCTCCAACACTACACACTCGGGGAGATACTCAAGGCCTACGGACACTATCAGGAGGCCACCCTCCACTTCAGACATGCATTAGACTTGAACCCTGGCTACCAACCCGCAGAGGCCCACCTGCGAGAGATGGATGGGACGCCCAACCCCTCTGTCACACAGTACACACTATTTATCATCTTATTTCTTGTGCTTGGTGTTATATTCGGAGTTATCACTTCTATAGAAGCCAACTTCGAGGACAGCAATGAAGTAAAAACACAACGGCATTTCAACCGAGCCATGGCCATGCGATCAATTAAGCTTGGGATAAACCCACGACTTATCAGGATGAGGAAAATGAACTGCTAGATATTAGACACTTTTAACGATAATTCTATTTTTTGGCTGATAAAGATTGACTTAAATAGCTTTACTTAATCAAATGAAACAATTTTAAATCCAGTAGTTGATTAAAGATAGTTCTAGGGCAAAACGTAATTAGAAAGAGGTTATATCAAATCCAGTTTAAGTGGAAATTTAGTTGTGCATTCTCAATAATGTTGGAGAATAATGGATAAACAATTCATCTCTTTCAAACAAAGCAAATATGTACATTCATGCTGTTCAAGATTATTTTGATGGTTGCTGATATCAATTAATAGTAGCTATATAATTTTTAATGTTATAATTTTCAATTTTTGGCAGTAACAAACTTAAAATCACATCTAGTCTCCAAAATATTACCTGTTGTTGTTTTAAGCTATATTACTGAACCAAATAAATACTTTTAGTATCATCAAATACCACTGTTACTTTTAGCAGAGTTATTTCCCTTTTCTAACTGGAAATTTGGGTATGAAACTTATTTGATAAGTTTTTGCATATTTTATGATTTGTTATTTTTCAAAGTTTTAAAGTTTTTAATTTATATGAATTATAATCAAAAAATGTTTTATGGCATATAACATGAGCCAGTAAAATCTCTTGCATTGGGAAAACAGGTCAACTTCAATTTTACTTTTGAGGATTATTTTGTGGTACTGTCATTTATAATGTCATTCACAATACTCCAGAGGGTTACACTCAGTTACGCTCTCTGCACCCCTGGGACATGTCTTGGCAAAATTGAGAAGGCTCCGTCTGCACCATCTTGTATAGATGAGACAAGTACTTGGATCCTTTGATATACATCAAAAGAATCTGTACGTCGTGTCAATTTGAAGGCAGGTCTTATTTCTCTGTAATCTGCAAAGGACGGGTATCGGCCTAGCAGTTAGTAATATTTTTTTACCCAAGACCAATCAAATAGTTTGCAGCATGCCTTGCAATTTTTGCCAAGACAAATTCCAAGGGTGCAGATATAGTGTGTAGAGCAGCAGTGATTGATGTAAACAAATAGCAGTACATGTATAAAATGTTTTCTGGACTTACAACTGTAATATAAGATTCTGGACTTACAACTGTAATATAAGATTCTGGACTTACAACTGTAATATAAGTTTCTGGACTTACAACTGTAATATAAGTTATGTTGGTAGGTAATTCTTGCTTGAAACAGGCTGAATGAATTAAAAACATGCCTAACAAGCCTGATTTCCACTTTTTAAAGGAATTTTTAAAATGTTTTGTTTTAATAGGAGTATCTAAGACAAGAATACACCTCTATCCCCCATGGATTTTAACTGATGTGCATATTCAATAGAATATTTGTGTTATACAGTTATGCTTACTTATCATGATAAAGTATGATATGGGGCACTGCATATATTTGAGAAAACAAGATTTCTATTTCCAAAAACTAAATAAAATAGACAAAACATAAAATATATTCCCTGCATACGTACCCTAGTGTTTTTGTTGCTGAAACAATAAACACATATGATATAACTTGGCCTGATATTTTATAATGAGTATTTAATTACAGTGTGCTGAGGAATATATCAGCTGTATGTAAGAATGTTGTTGATAAGGCCCAGGACTTAGTAGGGGGATACAAATATTCGTTTTCTGTAAAATATTAAGTAGGGCACATATGTTGGGAAAGTCTATTTGTACCTATGTATTATGAATGCACTAGTTAGACATATACAAAAAAACAAAGTATTGGTGTGTTTTTTTCATTGCTCGAGATTACCGGCCTGTTATAAGCCCTTTTTACTGTTTCTATGTTTAAAAGGATATTTGGAGTTTTACGTTTTAAGTTTTTTTGTTGTTTTTTTATTCTCTAGAGTCTTCCAACCTTTGATAAAAGCTCAACGATTTGGCTTTTATTGTCTAGGAAACAGTTGCATTAAGATTATTTATATATTCATAAATACTTACATTAGGTTCTTTACAAACTTTGGAAACATTGCGCATTATATAACTTGTGTAATACAAAACCTTGATATTTTAAATATTATATAACTTGTTAGTAATACAAACTTATTGAGTTTCATATAACTTGTAAGGTATACAAAATTTGATTTAATGAGTTTTATATAAATGATTATTATACAAACTTCAATTGGTATACTGTTATGTTTTTGTGAGAAATTTATTTCATATTTATTTGCAAGGAAACTCAGTGAAAAATACAATGTTGTGCATATGTATTTCAATTCTATTGATAGTCGGGGTTTTTTGTTAGATATTTTCAGTCTATTCCTGAACATCATTTCTTAAACTCTTGACCACTTGCATTTTAAAGAGACATTGTGAGTTCTCAAATAGTTTGCAAGTCCCAACCGAAAAGCATGAGTCCCAAAAATCACTGATAATTAATATAAATATTGAAATAGCAACTTGTCATTTGTGAATTCTAGTATTCAAAAGTATAATCACAGGCATTGTTCAGGAAATTAAGTTCACACAAAAATAAGGGGAATGACATGTTACACAAACTTTGATGGTGAAGTTATATAACTTGTATGATAGAAATACATTGTTAAAATTAGGATCTGATCTGCCAAGTATCTGTTAAAATGTTATTTAAATACAGCAATATCTGTATTAAAATGTTTACAATGTAATGCCAAACATTGGAAAGATCTATGTACAAATTCTGAGTTACAGTGCATCCTGTGTAGCCCGTCTATTTCAAGCACCTGCTTGCCTACAAAACCAAACCTGAGGTCAGAAAATGTGTTCTATAAAGTTGATATTAAGAAAGCTAACATTTAAGTGTAGCAGATGTAACCATGAACAAGTTATAATCTGTTTTTCCTAAAGAGTGGTTTGTTATATATATACATGCGTTGCTCTTCCTGTGCCTGTTGTATGAGATTGTAGGGTTTTTCACTGATTTATAATATACTTACAAAATATATCTTACAAATTAAATTTTGTTTGTCATACAGAAATGTGTATCTTTAAACGAGGTGTATTCTTGTTCCTGTAACCATAAATTTGTGCTTCCGTTTATGGTAGAACTACCCGTCGGCCAAAGAATGTCTGTTGCCCTCCCTGTTAGAATAGAGTTATCCTCCTTGTTATGTTGAGTTATTTCCCTTATACAGTAGTACAGTAGAGATACTTCGGTGTTCAGCTGGTACTTTAAGGGAAGCTGTATATGAATGGTGCCAAGTGTCACTTTTTAAAACTTACTATAGTCCAACTGATAGTGGACATGATATTAAACAATTCAATGAACATAAAATTCGTTTGTATCTTTTTTAGGTCACCTGAGCTTTGCTCAAGTGACCTATTCTAATTGCTTTTTGTCCGTCGTCGTCGTCGTCCGTCATGCGTAAACTTTTTACATTTTCAACTTCTTCTCAAGAACCAATGGATGGATTTTTTCAAACTTGGTCAGAATCATCTTTGGTAGACGAGGCTACAAAATTGTAAAATTGGGATTCCTACCCCAACCCCTGGGGCCAGGGCGGGGCCCCAAAGGGAAAATTAACCAATATTTCAAAAATCTTCTTCTCCAGACTCGGAGGTACTACAGTTATTTTCTCTGCATGGGAGGATAGATTATCAGGGGCTTTACCTAAATTGTAAATTTTAGGAACCCCTAGCTATTCGTTCTCCCTTGGGGAGGGGGTAAAGTTTACTAAAGTTTATTAGCTCACCTGGTCCAAAGGACCAAAGTGAGCTTATGCCATACTGTGGCGTCCGTTAGTCAACAATTTCTTTAAACATCTTCTTAACCACTGATTGGAATTCAACTAAATTTGACTTGAAGCATCCCTAGGTGGTGGGGATTCAAAATTGTACAAATGGTGGGGCTGACCCCCCAGGGGGCTTAGGGCGGGGCCAAATGGAGTCAATTTGGCTTTATTGCTTTAAGCGACTTCTTCTCTGGAACCAAGAGGTGGATATCAACCATATTTGACTGAAAGCATCCCTAGGTGGTGGTGATTCAAAATTGTACAAATGGTGGGGCTGACCCCACCCTATAACCATATATACAATTGCTGAGTTTAAAGAGATGAATGCACATAAGCTTCCAGGATGGCCTTGGTGTCTGCCCCACCCTTGGAGTGTTAACCCCTGTGTCATAACTTTGAAATGGTTAAAATCCCCACCCCAAATTATATATACAATTGTTGGGCATAAAGAGAGGAATGCAGTCATGATATTATAATTGATTCTGGGGTCTGGCCTCACCCCTAGGGACCTAGTTTCTGAGTCACAGCTTGGAAGCAGTTGAGATCCCCATCCCATAACCATACAGTAAATTGCTGGGCATAAAAAACCTAATACAGATATGCTACAAGGATTGGCCTTGGGGTCTGGCATATTCCCTTGGATCTCATTTGGAGAATATTTTGCCATGATTGCTTAGATATCCAGGTGAGCGATACAGGACCTCTGGGCCTCTTGTATAGGGAAATAACACTTTTGGGTATATTTTAACAACTTTCTGTAGGAAATTATTTTTACTTGGTGAGAATTATCCTTGGAGGAAGCTGGTTTTAAATTGTAAAATTGAGATTCCTACCCCAACCCGCAGGGCACCAAATGGAAAATTAACCAATATTAGACTCAGAGGTACTGCATGAAGAAAAAAATTATCAGGGGCTTTATTTAAATCATAAATTTCAGGACCCCTGAGCTATCCGTTCTCCCTTGGGGAGGGGATAAAGTTTACTATAGTTTATATAGGGAAATAACACTTTTGGGTATGTTTTATCCATTTTCAGCAGAAAAATACTCAAACTTAGTCAGAATCATCTTTGGTGAATAAGAGTATTACTATGTAAAATTAGGATCCTGCCTGATCCCCAGGGGCTAGGGCGGGCCCCAAAGATAGATTTACCAATATTTTCAAATTCTTATCCTTTGATGATATGACAAGTATTGTATTTCACTTAGTTTACAATGCTGATTTCCACATCACATCTAAACAATAAAATAAAGCTACCAGTACCTATAATAAAATAAAGCTACCAGTACCTATAATATAACTCAGGTGACCGCTAAGGCCCTTGAGCCTCTTGTTTTACCAAGCTGTCTCCACTTACGACCAAGACATGGCACAGGCTTTATAACTGTATCTGTATCTGTGTTGATATACTTAAGTTGACTTAAATTCTGGAGATAGCACTCAGGGAGGGGGTATGCTGCACAAGTCAGATATTTGTAGTCTATCTTTGAAATTTTCCAAATCATCCGCCACAACACAATATTCGTCTGAACTGTTCCAGTAGTCCTTAACTGAGATAACTAAAGATAATATAAATGGTGCGTTGTGATTTATGCATAAAATAGTAATCGGTGACACCCATATCGTCAGTTAATGGGACGTATATATAGTATCCCCTGCTCAACAAGTTGGCGGGGGATATATATAGACGCAGGGTCCATCTGTCCATGCACCTGGTTAAGAAGAACTGCTCTCATACTAGCATCAATTTTGTATCTAGGGGTATTCTTCTGGATACATATTTCTGATGTTGATTTTGACCTATATATTTACGCTTCGTTGACTTGGTTACAAAGAATTGCTGTTATCTTCATGCAAGGTAAAAGAAGAATTGCTCTCATCTATATCTTGCCTACTATAAGTGATATGTTGATTAAATTTGACATCAATTGTGTATCTAGGCAGACCAGGAATTTTCTACTTAATGCATATTGCGGATGCTGATTTTGACCTATATTTTACGCTTCATGTGTTTAATGACTTTTGCACTGCGTGCATGGGATATCGATGACAGCGTCTTCTTGTTGAATCTTCAGTTATATATCATGTGACATGGCCCATTGTCTTTCGCCTGAGATCGAAGTTCTGTAACTTGGTCAGATACTAGGTAAGGATGATTAGGGTTAACAGCTCGGGTCAATTAACTACGTGCTTTCATATGCATAATGTGTGCGTGTATGTTGGAGGCAGGTATGTTGTCCTTGGAAACCTTGAAGCCAATTAAAGGTTCTCCTCCTTGAGATTTTAAACGTCGAACATCTCCCAGTCTTCCTGGTTATGGCCCACAGACAGGCATTCAGCTGCCCCTGACCTTTTAGAAGGAGCTTGTAGACGTCACAATTAACTGCCACTTCTCTTGTACCATGTCAAACATCAGGCCGCCTTCTCGGAGAACAGAACGATGGTCCCTCTGGCACTCTCACCAATGTTAAATTGGCCATCATCAGGAAACCAGACAAGTGTGCCAGTCCAACAATAAAACGGACAGGCAATCTGCGACTGCAGTTCGGTAATTCTGCTAACCATACACGATAACCTCTTGCTCAAATCCAAGTTTTTATTAACGCAAAATAAGGGAGTACTTGACACTGTGGACCAGGCCATGAGCCCATCTATCATTTCAACCAGCAGATACGTTACTGTCATGACATCATACGGAAGGAACAGTCTACAAAACATTAGCCCCCTCTTTCAACATTCAACTTCATCACCACAAGGTATTGGCCAACTCGAACCGAGTACACCTATGTATTCCTGCTACATGTACTGCGACCGATATCATCAATGCTTCTCAAAAAGTAGCAACAGACTGCCCTAACTTTCGGTATCGTATATTGGAGCGAAGGTTGTTATCCGGGCCTCTATCACAAGCGCCGAAGTTGCGTGTTAAGGATTTGTGTAGCAAACGAGTCAATAAAGACCAATGGTTTCAAAAGGCAATGTCTAATTATAATTTGGCTACCGTTTGTGTCAAATTCCGAACGTAACTAATCCCGATCCGAGCATTTATGATCTGCCAGATGCAGAGGACTGCTAACATTTCCGTATCTTTATTCAACACGGAATGCAATAACTATATAGGTGTCGTTTCGGGCCAAAAACGATATATAATAACGCGTTAAAAAGTAACGTGTTACAATGTTAAATGCACTGGCCAATCAGAGAAATCGTTTCATAGTTGATGCTTTTGATATTTAAAATAAATATAAATGTTATGACTAATTATATTAAAAAAAACCAGACAATTACCCATTTCCACATCATATGTTTCTTTTAAGTAATGTGGCAATTGGTTATTGTCTGGGTTTTTTTTTCAATATAGATAAACAAATCTTCATTTAATTGAAATAAAATATGGCAGTTTTGATATATAAATAACATTTCCAGAGCCTTAACAGTGGTGTCGGAACGCAATTTAGAATGTTTATAAATGATTTGCAGGAAATGCCCTATTTTTTGGAAACTTCAAAAAGTCATATTTTTTATTTGTTTTTTCCGATTGCCTTCGTTAGGTAATACAAACAACTATGAACCAAATCATATTTCACTACAAAGTGTGGTTAAAATCAGTTTATTAACTTTTGAAAAAGACATTTAAACAAAAGTTATTGGGACAGATGACGGACGTAAGGCGGGCTGTTGGGAATTTGATCGCCGAGGAAGATGCAGATTATTTCTTGTCAATTTTGAAAGACATGTCTTCTGATGTGGAAAAACAGCTCGGATGATTCAGGCACACATTAAACATTGATTATTTCATACTTGGAAATAATTTTAAAATATAACGTTATGTTTGATAAGATAAAATTAGCTCTATACAAGGTGTAAAATACTCTTAATTCCTCCCCGAATCAGTTCGCATCTCTACTATGTTCTTCCCTGGCCACTTTCTATGCTATCCCAAGAGCAGGAAAATTGAAAACACGAAAAAATCGGCCGACAGGGACGAAAGCTCATTTGGCACAGCATTTTAGATGTACATGTGCAGTGTGTGTGCTGCAACTTTCACATGCATAATATTAGCATTGATATGAAGATGAAAAGGCACGAGCAGTCAATTATTCCGAAGCAACTATAATCCAACAGGTAATTATGTGCCGTCAATCCGATCGTGTGTAGGCACAAGATGTGTATGAGCCTAAACGGTCACCTGAGGATATTGGTAATGCCTGATAGGCCTATGGGGCCGCCTGTAAAGTAAAACAACAGTGTACAGTATTCAGGACCCTATGAGGAACGTTTGAAACACACTTTCTTGTCAATGCAGACGTTTTTTTTTATGAAGATACGCACTACATGTGCAATATACTCTACATTTATCAGGAGAAATCCTCAGGATCCCATCATTTTTCCACCAATGTAGGTTCTTTCTCTTTTCCTGCCTTTTCTGTCTCATTCTACATGTCTGTAGTCCGCAAAACACTAATTATGTGTTGAATCAGGGACGTATATACTGTCCCTGGTTGAATAGACTTCAAGTCCAACTTATAAATAACTATAAAAAGGACAAAAACTATCAGTTATGTTAACGTTGAATAGAATCTTAACAATTATTCAATGACTAGAACCATATACAAATAACCTTCGATTTTTTTAAAAATGCAAACCATATCCCTTAACGACAACTAAACGGAAACGCTGCACTTCATAAATATTACATATGAATACTTATTGAGATCTGTGAAGGACAAATCGTGGATTTCATACACGTATTGAACCAGTGGATACCTTACTAAACCACCTAATTTATATTGGTAATCACCAGATTTCACACTTATATAATACATATATACAATACATGTTGTCCAACATCCTCGTGAACCTGGCAACTTTAATAATTGCATACAACATAATTCATTATCACAATGATACACACTTATCTGCCGTTCCTACCTCTTTCTTTTACATTATCATTCCTTTAAGGATTCCAATCAAGTTTATGTTCCTTTTATGTGATAATTTTATTTTCATACAGGAATTGTAATGAAGAAACGATCGAGAAAGCAAAAATGATTATTTGAAGTTCCTTAAAAAATAGGGCATTTCCTGAAATATGCAGTTGAAATATAATTAGGTTCTGCTATCATATCACGATTACCTCTGAATATTTAAATACAGTGAACAGGTTTTGAATCGTCTTATTACTAGGCGGTCGGCCTATGCATGTTGCCAGGGATGCAACTACACATCCCTGATTTTGCTGATCATGAGTTTTCGATATCGGTCAACTGTGTCTGAATGTTGGCAGAGTTTCATTGGTTGACAAATCCTCTATTTACCCATACTTCCGCAGTTAAAATAGGTCTATTTATTCGTACACATTTTAAAGTTTATATGGCACATTTTACTCATTTCTATGTATAAGTATGCACTTTTATAATCATTGTTTTAGATGTTCTATAATTTACGTACAGCATTTCTATTTTACAAAATTTTAAATTCTTACACAGCGAACTATTTTCCTCATATCAGTAGACATTCAGACAACATGGCCGCCTCCATGATGAAACTGGCCGGTTTGGTTTTGCTTGCTGCTATTTGCAGTGTAAATGCAAATAAAAGGACATTGATTTTGGTAGATAATTGGTCAATCAGGGAAACACATTCTGTCTTCTTCAAGTCTCTAAGGGGTAAGCATTATTTCACTCTGAGTGTATATATTTGTCGCAGTCGCCGGGGACCTGCCGGCTCCTGCCACGTCAACATTTCATAATATACTTTGTATTGCTCTACGGCAAAACTTTTTAACCTCGAACATACAAAACAATCAAAAACACATTGATTATTACATTTTGAACGATTTTACGTAGCCTTCCCTGCACATAATTTCCTCCTAAGGTTTGTGCAACTGCTGCTACCGCTAGTAACAGTAAGGGGAGGTAAATCGTGACTTGAGAACCCAACGCTGAGATTTTTTGATTTTTTTTGTGCATCTATTTGTACAGTCCCGTGCCAAGTTAAAGGTCACAAATGTTTTCCCCTGTATCATGTCCAGCTCACTCTTAGTCTACTGGTTGGACTATATATGACGATAAACACCGGTACCTGTAACAGGAGAGGAAAAATGCACGGCCAGACCGGGGTTCGAACCCGAAACCATACTGCCATAAACATATGGTGAAGTTTTAGGAAAATTGACAATTATCAATCAATATTTTATGAATTTTAAGCAGTTTTTTAAATTTTATAAAAGGATTATATTCTTCTTTTATAATCATATTTTTCACAAGTCCAAATTAAAGGACCAGTAAAGTTAGGTGATTCACTAGTCTTTGCTGAAATCTACAAGTCCAGGACTAGCGGACTAGTGTTAGAGTCGACCCCTGCATAGACCCCACTGTTGAGAAGACTAGTGCTATTAATATTATATAAATAATATCTATAGGTAGGTGGAGATCCAACGTCCAGTCAACGGTAGTCTCCATAAAGATCAGCAAAGTTCAGCATATATATCCCAGTTGATGGATTCTTTAAATAGAATTTACAAGTCTGGCCATATAAGTAATTGTGGTGCCTGCAGGACACCGCAACTTGTACCTTAGGGATGTTTTGAAAATTGTGTTTTGTTCTGATAACGGTTTGGTTGGGTTTAGTATTGTTTAACGTCCTATCAACAGCTATTGTCATTTAAGTACGGCCAGCACTGGATTAAACTTGCTGATATCCCAGTTGATGTTGGCATGGTCATCTCTTCTCATAAATAATATCTGTTCTTACAAAATCTTGAGGCAACATATGTAGATGAATTATAAAGATCTCATGACTGATTGAAATGAAAAATGAGGTTGAGACTTGAGGGGACATATGTTATATATATATAAAATTGTGTCAGTCTCTATTGTGAACTTTTACAGATCAAGGATTTGAGCTAACTTTCAAGACTGCTGATGATGGAAGTTTGGCCTTGGTGAAGTTTGGCGAGTTTTTGTACGACAATCTTATCATCTTCTCTCCATCAGTCGAAGGTATGTGTTCTCTGTAATACACAAATAGGACCCATAATATACATATTTTGGTGCATACTTAGATACAGATAAAAAAATATTTCAAGCACTACTTTCTTCATTAACAACTTTGGTAATATAAAATTAATATATTAATATTAATAATCTTTGCATAATAAATTTTCAAACATGTGTTTGCTATATGAATTAAATTGAGTGCACTGTTTTGGTCCTGCATCATGGATGAATCATGGTTTGTAATGTTTACAGTGCATACTTTTAACAATATCAATCAACCAGAATGTTGTTCTGTTACAGAATTCGGAGGAACTATGGATGTGGCAGCCATAACCAACTTCATTGACGGTGGAGGAAATGTTCTAGTGGCTGGAAGCTCCAACATTGGTACGTTGTCACGGACTCTTGACTATTATTCTTGGTTTGTGGACGTTGTCATGCAAATGTATGAATTTGTTTCAAACATTAGTTGTCGGAACATCCTGTTCTTCTTCATAGAATCTCAACAATCATTGATTGTTGTGCAAAAAGATATATGAAAATTAAATTAAATTTAAACATGTGGAAATACAGAAACCGTTCATTCTGATAACCTCTGCTTTGTTCATGGGTTTGCGGGTAATGTGAGATCACAAGTAAAATATATGCAAATAACAAATTCATTACATGAAGATTTACAATATCCCAATTTGTCATACAAGTTTGCTACATTCTAGCTGGTGTTATTGTATGTTGGTATGATTTATGAATTTTCACTGTTTACTTTGCAGGTGATCCTCTGAGAGAGCTGGCTACAGAATGTGGTTTGGAGTTTGATGAAGAGAAGTCCACAGTTATTGACCATTTGAATTACGATGCTCTCGACCAGGGCAAGGTATTTACATCCATAATCTTGTATTGAACAAAGGCAGTCTAGCTATAGGTATATGTTTAGTTTAGAGCCATCTTATTGATTTTCGTCATATCTAATAGAAGGGGATGTACATTTCTACTAGCAGATGCAGTGATGCAAAGATTATGTTTTCAATAGTTACTCTGAAAATAATGGCTGGGTTAGTAGAATTGTTCAAAATCTACATGTGGGCTACTACTTTCAATTTTTTGAAATTGAATACCTTATTGAAGATATGTCATTACAAGTTAAAATACTGCATTATTTAGAAGAAAAAAACATTGCTAGTTTTAAATAACATAATAGAGATCAGCAATATTTCAATTTTGTATTTTATATATTTCATTTAATGATACCTATTGCATTCCAAGAGAGAAGTTTTTTTAACCAACAACTAAAGAGGCAGCAAGACCATTCTTGTTTCTGATGAATTATTTTATTATAATATATTGGTATTTTGCTTTTAGATCAGATGTATTGTCCATATTTATGCTATTTAAGATAAACTTAATCAAATACTCGGCCGGTGTTATCAGTAGAATTAACTAAACAAATATTGGGCCTATGTTGTAGCACACCTTGATTGTGGCAGATCCCAAGAACTTGTTGGATGCTCCCATGATCGTAGGAACCAAAGCCACATCTCCACTCCTCTTCAGAGGTGTAGGGTAAGTGCCTAGGGTACTGGAAGCTTGTTTATATAGTGTAGTAGAACTGAAAAGGGAAGACCTATGCATGACCCAGCATCTTAATATGTAATACGATTAGAGTATTTTCATTGCAATGATTAATGTGTTAGATTTAAATACAGAAAATTGTTTTTAATTTATGGTGTATAAGTCAACTGTATACCAGGAAATGTTCGCCCCTTGACAGTAAAATCCATTTTCGCCCAATATTAAATTCTTCCTTCACATATAATTACTATGTACATTATGATAATGTTATTTAAAAATATTCTTTGTAATGATAAATTTGCCCTTATCACAGACAGTGAAAAAGCAAAAGTTAAACTGCAGCGAAAACCTCCATGTATTCAGTATCGGGCATAGACAATTATTTGACAATATTTACACAGCTATTTCAGATTCGTTACCACCATCATATCAACTCTGATATTAACTTTTGTCTATTTCTATGTTACAGTATGATCGCTGACCCAGAGAACCCACTGGTGTTGAATGTACTACATGCATCCTCTACAGCCTATTCTTTCAACCCTGACGCCAAGATTGAGGATGTAAGTATCATAGATAAAGCAGAGCTTCGACAAATCTTTCTATAAAGAGGTACATCAATGGCAATTGTAAGGGTTTGTGAACATTTGTTTTTGTGTGTAGATACCAATATGAAAGTAGATGTTTCTAAAGAGATATTAGATTTTGCTATCAAGGTCAGCTTGACAACCGAAGGCAAATTCTGCTCAGTACTCAACACTACAGTGGTATGGACTTTTAGGGACAGGTGTATTTGACATATGTTTCTCAAAACGAATCTCAAAAATTCAGGAAAAATTCCATTTTACTTCGGAAATGGCTAAATGTCAAGAGTCGACTGAAAACAATTCGTGTCTATTTTGTAGTATCCTCATGCTGTGGGAAGCAGTACTCTGTTGGTGGCCGCCCTCCAGGCGAGGAACAATGCACGAGTCATGTTTGTAGGATCCCTAGACTTCTTCAGTGACGAATTCTTCACCTCCGCTGTACATCATGCCATTACCAACAAAAAGTGAGTGCTCATTTTCACCTTCAAGGGAGATAATCACTGCTATATAAGTTAAAATAAATTTCTTCACCAAGGCAATAAGAAAATAAACTCATACTACATCTAGTTAATACTCCCACATTTGAACTTCTAGCAATTATGATTAGTGATTGGTTGTTAAATTACTTAATACTAGTTACCAGTTTAATTATCCAAGGATCATAAAACAATCTTTAAACATAAATAATTTATAGTTAGGCTAGTTTGATAAACTTGATAACCAGCAGCCGTATCTTGAAATCATTTTTCTAACTATAAAAAAAAAACATTTTTTACCCCACATGCATTATACAATCATGTTTGTCACCCCCATTTCTGTTTATAAAATGGGTTTGTAGTTAGGAAAAACATTTAAATTATGGTTAAACTACAAGTGACTTATTGTTTTACATCTACTATTTGACAGGTTTGAGAAGTCGGGTAATGAGCAGCTGTCTATGAACCTTGCCCAGTGGGTGTTCAAGGAGAAGGGCGTGCTTCGTGTGGGAACTGTCAAACACAACAAGAAGGGCGAGTCACAACCACCATTAGCCTACACTGTGTTTGAGGAAGTGGTGAGGCTAATATAATCTAACTTTGTTATCATACATTGTAGGGGTGTCACAATACGCTTTGAGTGCATTCAGATATCAGGATATATATATTTAAATACAGAAGGAATGTAGTATGATACATATCCAATTATATTGTCAAATGACAAAAAGATGCTCAATTAATAATAAAAAACATTATTGTCAGGAATGTATCAAACTGATTCATGTCTCATGTAAATCACACAGATTTAAGATTTTCATTTAACAATCCATGGAATATGATATCTTAACTGATTCCCACTGCTAGTAATAAATGGTGGTTCATGGTAATTAGCTTCTGTTGTAATGTGAAGTAATTTGCGATTTAAACATGTAGCTAATATATTAAAAAATGCTTTCAATTTTTTTTGCAATACAGCAATATTTATTTCTGTATTGCGGTATAATGCAGTTTACACAACTATTGTTTTCTGATATATTGTGACCGCCCATAATATATATTTAATGTCGCTGAAAGGATGAGACTTTTTCTCTATGTTTGAACTAGTGGGGAGGATGGTAGAAACTTCTGGTTATAATATACTACTGAATGATGTTGTACACAATAGGTGGGGTGAGGCCACACTACCAGTATTGTGATATATTGATTGTGATAGCCCAACCAGCTTTAGGCCTCATTAGGGCCCCGTATCGGAGATACGGGTGCCCTATAGTAATCACTCTGTCTGTCTGACTGTCTGTCTGTCTGTCCGACCACAAATTTTGTTCCTGGCTGATAACTTTAGTATTTATTGACCGATGTACATGAAACTTGGTCAAGATGTTCAGTTCCCAAAAATACCCATTGAGGTAAAAAGTCAAGGTCAAAGGTTAGGTCATGAGGTTCAAAGGTCAAGGTCAAATTTTACATCTTTTCACTGATGAACATTTTGTTATGACAATATGAAGCAAAGTTGATCAGAATTAAACAAGGAGTCAATTGACCAAAGGTCAAGGTCACTGGGTCAAAGGTGAAGGTTAAATTTTGTACCTTTTCCCTGATGAACATTTTGTTATGACATTATGAAGCAATGTTGTTCAGAACTTAACACAGAGTCAACTGACCTTAGGTCCAGGTTACGGGGTCCAAAGGGTCAAGGTCAAGTTTTGTATTTTTTACTGATTTACATTTTGTTATGATATTAAGAAGCACAGTTGGTCGGAATTAAAGAATAAGTCAACTGACCAAAGATCAGGGTCACTGGGTTAATGGTCAAGGTCATTTGGGTCCAAAGGTCAAAGACAAAGTGGATCTCTGACTTTGACCCTGGCTCTTGATGGAGGAGGTATATAAGGTGAAATAAAACAAATCAAAGCTAACAAATGAGTATTGCACCGGTATTTACATTTCTGTTAGCCCAGCAAATATGGAGGTGGAAGGAAACAAGACTCACATCATGTAAAATGTATATTTTGCTTCCTTGCGATTCTTTTTGAAGTCCAAATGTCAAACGTCAAGCTCAGATATATGGGCAGATTGCTTCTTGATGATTATGGGGGATAGATTGCCACAAGACGGGGCCCTTACTGACCTGTCAGTGTTCTAGTTGTCTGTATCTTACATTGATTTTACTTTGGTGACAACCTAAAAAGTCCTGTAAATAAGCCAGGTATAGCTGACACGATCAAGATGAAGTGAGCTTCAAAACATGTGATGTGGTGAAATGTATTTATATTCAATTCTTTAGTAAACCATGCCCTGATGTTACTTGTGTGTTTGTTTGGCAGGAGTACTCCATTGGTATTGAGGAGCTGAAGGGAGGACAGTGGAAACCATTTGACCACAAGGATGTCCAGCTGGAGTTTGTACGCATTGACCCGTTTGTTAGGACCCTGCTGACAAGCAAGAGTAAGTAACATGGAAACTCAACTGGTGTATCAGGAATCGTATATCAAAAACAGCCACCTTAAAAATCTTGTTGTGGTAAGGATTTGAAAGCCTGACTATCACCTCACCAATGTACATCTTGAATAGAAAGTCCTATCATAACCGGATCTGTAAGGCATGTAATTGGTCCTCAATGAAAATTTTAAATTAAATCTTGTTACCACTATTTTGACTGCATTATGACTCAAAAACAAAGCTTTTTATGTCAGCAGACATTAATCTTAAATATGATATGAAATGACTTGCTGATCAGAGAAATATGTTACGACTTGCAATGAAGCATGTATTACGTTGATGTCTGGTTTCTAACCTGGCAGTCGCAGGATCTTTGTGAGACTGGTACATCTTTAAGTCTTTCAGTTGTCATTTGTTAATAAGTTTCAGGGTAAGTGTCAGTAATGAAACTTCCCTCTCTGTTTCAGATGGTTTGTTTGGTGTAACCTTCAAACTGCCCGACGTTTATGGAGTTTACCAGTTCCGTGTAGACTACAACAGAATAGGATTCACTCACCTGTACAGTACAACACAGGTAAGATTTAGCAGGACTGCTCTAGATCTGTGGTCAACTACAGAATCTTACAATGTAGATACATGTCTGTTACCCATTGCCTGAATGAAACCTGAATACTTTGTCTTATTTATTTACTATTTTGTCTCCCTATAGGATGGGGTAAGGGGGAGGGAGGATGTGGCATAATGTGTGACCCATATACGTCTTGCCCAATCGGAATTCATTGTCAGGACTCGTACTATATATAGGTTAAGGATGGCAATAACTGGATGACCTCATATTTCAAGGTCAAGGCCACATGGTCTTTTTATGTCAAACAAGGGTTAATTTATGTCTCCCTGACTTTTTTTTAAGTCTTTAAGAACTGATTTGGATTGAATTTAATTAACAATATTTATCCTGTTGTTTCATATGTTTGATATTACATTTCATGTATAACAAGGAAAACATATGATCAACTTAAATACTAGAATACACAGTATAAAAAACTTGTCTATTTTCCAACTGTCAGTGCTAAAATTCGTTTGTTTTTTTGCAGGTGTCTGTGCGGCCACTAGAACACACCCAGTATGAACGGTTTATTCCGTCGGCCTTTCCCTATTATGCTAGCGCATTCTCAATGATGGCAGGAGTCTTTATATTCAGCTTGGTTTTCCTCCATTTTAATGATTCACCAAAGGAGAAGAAGGAATAACACACATTCACACTTCAAAGAAGAGGAAACCATAGCATTCATTGAATTAATTGTACCAAAGGGAAAAAAGGAACATATCTTAGACAAAAAGTTGATAACATTTAGAATAAATTATTATTAAGACAAGTAATTTCTGTTTAGGAGATACCTTTCAATAATGGTATTAAAAGGGATGCATGTCTGGCATAACAACATTAGATATATATAGACATTGTTTTCTCTTAGTGTTGAATTCTTAATGTTTACTAATTATCAAACATGAAGTTGTGAATGGAAAACAAAGTCTCAAATCATTCCATACCTCATTTATGCTGTTGTACTTTTGTATTGGAGCAAGAAATCCTAAAATTAAAAGACAAAATTTAAAAAAAACGTGTTTGTTTTAATTAGAGACCTGCATTCTGAAGGGTCATCCTAAAAAGTGTTTGCAGTTTCCTATTAAACTGATATTTTTTCATTAGGTAGGTGGTAGGTAATTATCTTCAAGTTTTAGAAATCTCATATTTCTATATACAACCCTAAGTTTCAGTAAATTTTCAGCATGAAAGAAAAGTTTACCAAAATCTAAGAAGTCGGTCGGGAAACTGCAAACATTTCTTTTAAGGGTGGCTGTATAATATGTCCACATTTTCTTTCCGCTCAATAACTTAATTGAATATTATCACATCTTGATAAAATAGGCCAACATGTTCCAAGACTAAAGTTAAGTTTAATCGGTGCATAATTAGTCTAACCCCGGGACCCAAGTGGGTAGGGGCATCAGAATAGATGTATAGGTTTGCACTTCATCCTAACATCCATCTGAAACATTGGTTCAGATCATTTCTCCTGTACTATTTAGCCTGAAGTTACCAGATCATGTCTCCTATACTATTTAGCCTGAAGTTACCAGATCATGTCTCCTATACTATTTAGCCTGAAGTTACCAGATCATGTCTCCTATACTATTTAGCCTGAAGTTACCAGATCATGTCTCCTATACTATTTAGCCTGAAGTTACCAGATCATGTCTCCTATACTATTTAGCCTGAAGTTACCAGATCATGTCTCCTATACTATTTAGCCTGAAGTTACCAGATCATGTCTCCTATACTATTTAGCCTGAAGTTACCAGTTGGGGTATGCAAGCACATATTTCGGATGGCAGAGTACGAGAAGTAGGTCACTGTGAGTCACTTTGACCTTCAATTTTGAAAAAGTTTGTCTAGGCATGTGCTCCAAATTTGGGATACATGTACGTTGGTATGTAAGTACAACTTGAGATGGTGGGGTGCAGAGCAACAGAAATGCTGTGAGCTATGCTTAGACCTTTGAAAGAGTTTGGCCGAGCCGTATGTTCTATAAGTATTTACCCTGGAGTAACCAGATTTTGCATGCAAGTACGTCAGTAAAATGCTGCAAACAAGCGCTGATTAACCAGAGGACTTGGGTCATGTTGACTAAAATGCTAGGGTGACTGGCTATCATGGTTTTTGAGGTCACATGGTCACTATAATACTGTAAAACATCATCGTTTACAATTAGTAACTAATAGGGCTTTATACTAGCATGCTGGGTTAAAAGGCTATCAACTTTGATCATACAATGACCGTGACCAACATTCAATACCAACTGGACAAATGTCTCGAAACCGTGAAACGATTCTTCTGAATAACGAAGATACTTCAGAATAATGTTTGGCCAATAGCATGCTGGGATGAAGGGCTAACAAGTTATTTCAAATACTTAACCTTGATTACTGCTTAACTTATTGTTTAATTCATCGATCAAAAAGTATTGGAGGGATCTTTATCAAATTTCAAACGAAGGTTTTCCATGGTCCCTACTTACGCGTTTCAAATTTTAGGACTGATCGGAACACCAAGATGACTGAAAGGTGGCCATCTTGAATTTTGAGATTCTAAAGTAGTTAAGTGTAATTTCTCAGAAAACAAGGCAGGGATCTTTCTGAAATTTCACATGAAGGTTCCCCACAGCCCTGAGCTACGATTAAAAAGTTTCAGGACTGATCAGAACACCAAGAAGACTGAAAGGCAGCCATCTTGAATTTTGAGATTTAAAATTAGAAAGTGATATTTCTTAGGTGCTTGAGGGATCTTTCTCAAAATTCACATGAAGGTTCCCCATGGTTCATAGAATGTTATGCCACGGACTTAGATATTCTAATTCCGTGGTTATGCATATCAAATTTCTGGACTGATCAGAAAACCACAATGGCTGACAGGTGGCCATGTTAAATTTGGACATTTAAAGTGTTATAGTGCTACTTCTCAGAAAGTACTGGAGTGACCTTTTTATAAGTTCACATGTAGGTTGCCAATGCTCTGTCATCGTACACACAGGGGCATGGATCGCTTTACTTGTAATATAAAAAAAAATAGGGGTCTCCTATACTAATATATATATATTAGTATAGGAGACCCCTATTTTTTTTTATTACAAGTAAAGCGATCCATGCCCCTGTGATCGTACATGTTGTATTTTGAGAGTAATTGGGAAAACAGGAGGACCACCAGACAGCAGTCTTGTGTTCCGACATTTTATTTTTGTTATCTCTGTTTCTAAAGAAGTCCTGGACACATTTTTTAATCAGATTTCAAATGTTCGATTTTCATGGGTCCTTACAAGATGTGCATGTTTAATTTTTAGGCTGATCAGATAACAAAAAGGTCGCCTGGCAGCCATCTTGGATTTCGACAGTTCAACATTTTTCTCGCTATTTTCCGAAGAAGTTCCAGACAGATCATTATCCTGTGAATTTGAAATTAAGGATTTCCTTGTTACACATTTAATATTATGCTTGTAAATAGGCCAAACAACAACCTCACTTTGAAAAAACGATGGCAGTTTTGATCAATAGTTACCACAAGTTGTATTTACTTAACACATGACTAAATCCAACAGATAAGAGTAAAGACCAGTGTTACACGGACCCCATAGACCCTCTGGGATATTTTGTTTGGCGGTATAAGAAAGCACTTTTGAGCACCTCGGATAATAGAATTTTTGACTTCGATAAGTTAAACTAAACCACTATGGGTATGCAGCGATTGCCCTGTTAGCTCCGAGCAGAGACCTAAAGTAAAGGGACCGTTAATTTAGGTCTATGCTCCGAGCTAACTATTTTTAATTTCTTTTTACAATAGAATGAATCAGTTCCAGATGGTTTCTTTTACCTGTAACGCCCTGTGACCTTGAAAGAGGGGCCAAATATATATTGTGATAAATTTCCACAAACTTGGTACCTCTTCATCCTAGTAAGTTTTAGACCAAATATCATTTCCAAAAATCTCTTAGTTATCCATCAGAAGTCGTTATTGAAGAAACTTTACCCATCTTTCCAACCCAAAACAGAAATTTATGAAGCCATCTCTGCCCAGAAATGTGAATTATGCAACGAGAAAGTTAGATGGGTGAATTTTCCACGTCGAGAGCTTTCAGCCCTTCTATTATAATTCTAGTCTATCACCTAAGGTTGCATTTTAACCAAGTGTTGATATACATGTAACTTTAGGGCGTTAATAATGTTCATGTAACTTGTGCCCAATCCTCTTGCATTTTTTTGGCAATAAAATATGTTTAAACTAAAACTTTACATGTAGCGCGCCTAATTTTACTCTCTACATATCAAATAAGGTCCATGTATATACATACGGTATGAAATCAGGTCACTGTGGCATTTATTAAGGCTTGGGCTATTTAACAGCTATAGTTATACCCCCGCAACGAAGTTAGGGGGGTATACTGGAATCACCCTGTCTGGATGTCTGTCTATCTGTCTATCTGTCTGTCGTACGCAGTAACTTGTCCGGAAAACACCTCCTTAATTAAGAGGTGGGTTTCATTGAAACTTTGCATGAATGATCAGTATCTTATGTAGTTGTGCAGCGGCATTTTAATTTGGGATTTCGACCCTTTTTGATGGAGTTATGCCCCTTTGTGTGAAATACTTGTCCGCGCAACTCCTCCTTAATTAACAGTTGGATTTCATTGAAACTTTGAATGAATGATAAGTATCTTATGTAGTTGTGCAGCGGCATTTTAATTTGGGATTTCGACCCTTTTTGATGGAGTTATGCCCCTTTGTGCGAAATACTTGTCCGTGCAACTCCTCTTAACTAACAGGTGGGTTTCATTGAAACTTTGCATGAATGATCGGTATCTCATGTAGTTGTGCACCTACATTTTAATTTGGGATTTCGACCCTTTTTTGATGGAGTTATGCCCCTTTGTGAGAAATACAGTGGAGAGCTTATCAAGCTGGTCCTTAGAATTGGAGTAGATATCTGTATTACATCTTTATATTGGAGGAGATATCTGCATTATATCTTTCAGCAAAACTTGTTCAGATGGGCTAACAAGTTTTGGTTTGGAAGTATGTTTTGGCATTGAGAGGGAGTACATACAGGAAGTATGTGAGTGACCTATATACTTAAATCAGTGTACAGCTCCGCCAATAAAGAAATCATTACTATTGGTTGCTTTGCATTAGTAAGCCTTTAGCTTACAGTTCTGGTTTATATTGGAGCGGGGGTATTAGTTAGCCTTTGGCTTACAATTCTAGTTTATGTAATAGTCCCACCAAGCAACTGCAATTATCTTATTTTCTATTGTAGCAGTTTTCTTTAAAAATTAGGTTTTAAGAAATTAAAATGGTTCAAAATTATCAAAATAAAAGCGTTAAGATCTGAGAAGTGATTTGGTAAATGGCAATGCACGTATATAGCCTTTCGACACACGATAACAAGAATCCAATCTCGTTGTTATTCCACAAAGGTTTACGAACGAGTTTCAACTTAATTGTAGCTTATACCATGGCGTCCGTCCGTCCGTCCGTACGACAACAATTTCTTCAAACGACTCAAAAGGAGGGGCTGAGGGGCGGGGCCAAAAAGTGTAATTTGGCTATTTTGCTCTTTAAGTGACTTCTTCTCAAGAACTTAGCGATGAATATCAAATACATTTTGTAGATGCATCCATAGGTGGTGGGGATAAACAATTGTACAAATGGACAGGCTGACCCCAAGGGCTAAGGGGTGGGGCCAAAAATAGTTTATAACTTGGAAATTATTGAGATCCCTATCCTATCACCATATATAAAATTGCTGAGTATAAAGAGATGAATGCACATACGCTTTCAGGATGGTCCTGGGGGTCAGACCCCACCCTGGAGACCCTTGGTAATAACTTTGAAACAGTCGAGATTCCCACTCCAAAACTAAATATACAATTGCTAGGCATAAAGAGACGAACACAATTATGATATTAGCATTGACCCTTGGGTCTGGCCACACCACTAGGGACCTAGTTTCTGAGTCACAACTTGTAAACTGTTAAGATCCTCACCTTATAACCATATATAAGTACCTGATTATAAAGAGACGGGTCTGACCTTATCCCTGGGATCTTCTTCGAAGAATATTTTGCCATGATTGCTTAGATATCCAGGTAAGCGATACAGGCCCTCTGGGCCCTTTTTTATAGCTTTTCTATGCTACAAGTATTATTTTTAGAGATCGGAATAAAGTATGTCTTCAAAATCTTATTGACAAGTCATTGCGGGGACCTTTGATTCCATACACCTTTGTAGAGTAGATTCGTCTTTTATTTGGAAGAATTCCCTTCTCTAAGCTGAAGTATTTGTCAAGTTCTTGTCAAAGGCTAGTGCAATTTGTTTGTACAATCAAGGATTTCGTATTTTAGTTTGGTCAACAAGACGTCCCGGTTTCCATTCCCCAGTCGGACGTGAAAAGGTTTGTGGTAATCTACCCGAAAACGGGGGTATTCGCCAGTTTCCGCCCTCATTAAGACAGGGTTTACCTTCTGAGCAGTTCCATCCGGGCCAACAAGAGTAAATAATATCCGTTGGAAGAACTTCTGTCATAATTGTTGAAAAGAGGTGTCTTTAAATAATTTAAATCGTATTTAGTCTCAAGGAAAGCTTGCACGAAGCTGCCAAAATACACCGGCACAATATTTTGTCCAGGTCTGTTGTCGTCGGAGATGCTCCAGATGTCACATTTTGTGTAAGACACGCGCAGGACATCAGTTTGAATGTACTTTCGATGTGATGAAAATGATGACACAAAAGAATGTAAAATTAAAAAATATTTTATTTCCAATTCAGCTAAGAAAGATCTAACTAAAAATTTGAAAGATTCCTAATACGTAAAGTCTCACAATCTGTGTATCTATGGCAACAAGACGACTTTCTGAAAGTACTACCAAATAGTATGGGTATGTCACAGTAAAACTATAGAGAAAATGGGAACCGTCGGAGGGAAATTGCCCTGTTCCTATGCATTTGCATTTTGATTATGCACATTGTGGGGAAAGGCACCAGTTAGCCGTGGATGAATGATACAAGCCTACTCACGATGTCCCCTTAGCAACGACCAAGACTGAGCAACAGGAGCCAATAGTGGTGTTCTTTTGCAGATACACATTTTAATTTGGCGTTTCTTTTTTGTACTAAATTTACATGATTGGCGATATTCCAAAAACTAAATCCACCTCACAGTAAAGCCTATTATCTGGCACCTGTTGATTGGCTAAGTGTATGCCGACTCTCGGGCCCCTACTGTATGTTGGTAATGGTGTTCTTGGTTGATATTAGCCAATTTCTCGGGGAACTGCGGACTCTGATGATTTTACTCCGAATTACCAGGCCCCTGTGAACTGGATTGTTTTAAGTCTCTAACTACCGACAGGTCGGCTGTTCTGTTTGTAGTCTTTCTAAATGTGGGGACGGGCTAGATATCATTGACATAGGCAAGGATGCATTGGTCACTTTCATATAAAATATAGAATTTTGATTTGAGAAAACGTGGTAAAAATAAAATACCTGAATCTCTATATTGATTATGCTTTGAAGGAGAATTCGACAGTGTTTCGGATACTACTTATACTGGACAGAATACAACAACTGGAGCGTCTACTTCTACTACTGCATGCTTATAACATATAAGTGCCTATGTTTTGATGTTGGCCTGGAAGTAAGTATTTAAGTCTGGAGAATAAGTTCGTACCTTGGTGTACCAACACAGATATCAAGGTCACTTCAATCACAGGCCATCATCAAAAATCTTACTAAAATCGGATTTTTCATTTCACTTAGATAGACATTATGTAACGAAATACAGAAAAACAAAATGAAAAGAAAAGTCTGATTTTAATTAGATTAAAACATCACGTGACCACTTCATCACTGACAAACATCACGTGATCACTTCATCACTGACAAACATCAGGTGGCCACTGCATCACTGATAAACATCACGTGACCATTTCACTTTCAAACATTACGTGACATCTTCATCACTGACAAACATCACGTGACCACTTCACCAAAGCTGCAAAATACTACAGGTACTAGACATAGTTTATCTTTATGACATCATGACATTGAAATATACATTATAAATGTCTTCGGGCTTTGAGATCGAACTTTCCACTTAATATATCATACATAAAATGTGTTAAAGGACAGTGTCCTCCACACTAAAGGTTACTGTAGACGTAGATAGGAATGTTTTGCATTGGTCCAGCAATGGTGACGTCATCAACAGTGGGGGGAGATTTCCTAATGCAATTACAGGGAAGGTACATGAAGACATGCCGGCATAATATTACAGGCCTGGGATATCCACAGATCTAGTAAGTTGTTGATTTGTTTTAATCTTTACTATTTTATTTTTGTGACAACTTTGATTAAACTTTGGTAAAATTATGCATTAGCCATTCACCAGTTTGACTGTGTGACAAAATTAGACTTATGAGAGTATGTATAATACTATCGTTTGTACAAGTACCTTGGACACTGTCATTTGTTTTAGAATCCGGATCTAATCCTGATGTCATCTCTGACACTATCAAATGTAACTTGAAATGATAAAATGTACTAATACAGTTCTGATACTGTCAAATGTATTTCTGACACTGTCAAAATGTATTTCTGACACTGTTAAATTGTACTGGTACCATGACACTATCAAATATACCGATACAGTTCTGACACTGTCAAATGTATTTATGACACTGTCAAATGCATTTCTGACACTGTCAAAATGTACTGGTACCATGACACTATCAAATGTACCGATACATCTCTGACACTGTCAAATGTATTTCTGACACTGTTAAATTGTACTGGTACCATGACACTATCAAATATACCGATACAGCTCTGACACTGTCAAATGTATTTATGACACTGTCAGAGAAATAAGTAGCCTTATGTAAATGTGTATTAATCATAGAATATTTTATATCTAACATTCACCAGGGATCAACACCATGATACCAGGGGCGAACCTTAATACATTTTAGTGTTCCAGTATCTTTGATATTAAATGCACTAAGTATACAATTCAATGATGCAGTCAAAAAAATTACAAACATTCGAACGTTCGTCCTGAGCTCTTTTCATGTTCAAATAAAATCAACATATCTTTAAAAAAACACATACTATACAATATATAAATTTTGAAAAAGTAAACAAAATATTGCTGTGGGTTTTAAACCATTCTGTGTCTTATATATATGAATAGTTTTTCGGTTGCATGTGTCTGCAAGACAAATTGGCATAGGTTTATTAAATGCACACACACATTTTCACTCTTTCTACACCAAAATTAGTACACAAACATGCTGCTTGTCAGTGTCACGTGACACCTATACTCTTGCACGTGTACTTTCAGACACTCCAAATCATGGTGGTGAATATTTCTTGTTTCCCTTCCGGTCCACCAGTAATGCCTTTTCTATGAGGACACTTTTGTGGTAGATATGTCCTAGACTGGTGCAAGTGTTCCAAAATTCATTCAGGTGTTCATAATCGCTGGACAGTTTTTATAATCCAGGATGCAATAAGCGTTTCAGTGATAAAAAATACTTTCGGATAGGTCAACATGAACGGCAGGGAATGATGGTAACCGGAACTGGGCGTGGCTTATGCTGAGGGAACACCTGTATAGGCCTTGTTCTTGTAGTAGAAGTAGGTGATCAGAAGGGCGATGAGAAACATACAGGCCAGACACACTCCCACTACAATACCAATCACGCGCGTACTGTTGATAGCAGCCTGGACGTCAACAAAGGTAACTGAAAGTAAACAATTCAAAAGTCAACTTTTCTATTTTTAGAATTGAAACTTATTTAGACAAGATAAATGTCATAAATTGTCAGCGCGTATATCGGACAAATAAGTAGGTTTAGTCCAGCCTTTCAACAACATTCACACTGCACAAAAAACATGCTGCTGTTCCTTTTATCGGCATCACGCCGTAACGGTGACTTTTCTGGTTGGTTTAGCAATCATTTCCCATATTTGAAAAATCGAGAACCGTCTGTACTTTCCTTAAAAGACAAAATTGCCGACGTTTCCTGAATAGTTCTTTGAAACTAATTTGACCGTCACGATGCGAAGAAATGCTTCGTGTCTTATGATTGCTAAAGTAATGGTAATTATCCGATCGATCGATATATTAAGTATGTGGGGCCTAGTGAGCAAAACAAAATGTCACGAACGTTTGGTCTTACTCCATCAGCAACTTTCAGTGATGTAATTTGAAGACTTTGCACAAGATACAGGATTTTAATTAATTCACCAGTTATAACATAGCCCCAACTCTTATACATGGAAAGGAGGGGATTGTCCCCTTTTTCAATATCGATTCTTACCATTTAAAAATCCGATAATCTCAGATGTGTGCATATAGAATATTATATAAATTTCGGAACATTTCACATGCTGAACAACACAGTTTTAACATGTGGACATTGACATATTTTTTGTTTTTTAATTTGTGCTAGAAATACAAATGCACAAGCGCCTGTGTCTAGAGCAAGTGAAGTTTCCTAAGCACATTGACATACCTCTATCATCTTCTGGTTCGGGTGCGGGGAGTCCAAATATATTACCCTGTCCTGTATTGTATTTTGCACATCGTGCAAAAATTGAGGCTACAAAGCCGTAGTCGGTGTGTGTTTTGATTGGGTCCTGGATGAGACGGAGGGTCAGTTCATCGTTGCCGTTTACACACCACTCTGGAGGAGGTTTCACAATGGAGCAGTCCAACTTCTGTACAAACAAGACGCAAGAGGAAAATTTCAAAAACGCGAACGTGAGCAGTTCATTTATAACCAAACACAGTGCGCATTATTATGTATGGGGGCCGTGTACTAGTAAGTTCTACCACTACCCCTCCACCACTGGGTCGCGGGTTGGAGGCCTACATGGGACAGTCGCCAGGTACTGGTCATATACAGTAACAGTTCCAACATGCTTCTGTTGCTGATGGGAACATGGGGTCTAGATATACTGGGAACAGAAATCGTGTGACTAGAACCCCGGTATACACTGTAACACCAACTCATAACGTCAAACTACATCAGGGACGTATAATAAATACTCTCCAAGTACATAATAGAGCATTCCCGTATCAATCGTCCTGAACCCATACCAAACACAATAATTCTTACTGTAATATCAGTTTCAAGAACGTACACTGACTAACAGGCTCACCATATACCATATAAATTGGAGTGCCAAGTCCTTAATACTAAATATTGTGTCATAACATAGGAGAAGCTGATCAACACCTCCATCTGGTATGTAAATAATATAGGAAATATAAAATAGTCTTACATTCCCTTTTATATTGTCAAGTAGCCCGGGTTTCCTTTGGCCCTTGCCCCAGACTTAGACAGTTTTACACCAGACATCTATATATATATATATATGTCAAAATGTCTGGTGATAGGGCCAGAGGAAACTCGGGCTAATTGCCAAGGTATTACAATCCGAAAACCGGAAACGGTGTGGGTGTGGTAGGGTGGTTGCTTCGATTCTATTTTTCAAATATACGCATAGTCAAGTAACGTATCTTCATTATATAGGTATCCATTGATATCAATATGGTAGTTAAGAGGAGACTATATTGTTTATTTACATACCGGATGATTGGCTATAATCACTAATGTGGTCGGACTCCAATTCGTCAGCGACGGGAATTAAAAAAATAACAATTTGTAACGTTGTCCACTCAACTTACCAAGACCTTGTGGCTAGAGGTAAATTCCGCGGTCACATAGCACATCCTGTTGATTTTCTCAACCGAGACACACAGGACGAGCTCATCGCTGCACCCGTTTTCAGAGTCGTCGGCCAAAAATGTGGCGACACAGTCACCGGTGCCCAAAGCAATGTTACCGGCGGTGGTGACGTTTGCACTATCTCCAAGGCTGATATGGAACGTGTCTACCCCACAGCTAGCATTTTCGTCAAAATTCACAGGAGTCCCTGCTGTGGAGATACAGAAAAGGGTCTAGGTTCAATACAGCAAAATGGTAACGTTTCAATACAGCAAAAGGGCAAGTTCAATAGGGAAGAGAGCAAAGATTCAGTACAGCAAAGAGTCGATTTTCAACACATGAGAAGGATCAAGGTTCAATACAGCAAAGATACAAGGTTTTATACAGAAAAGGGTCAAGGTTCAGGACAGCAATAGGTTAAGGTTCAATAGGGAAGAGAGCAAAGGTTCAATACAGCAAAATGTCAAGTTTCAATACAGCAAAGAGACAATGTTTTATACAGAAAATGGTCAAGGTTCAATACAGCAATAGGTCAAGGTTCAAAACAGAAAAGGGTCAATGTTCAATAGGGAAGAGAGCAAAGATTCAGTACAGCAAAGAGCCGATTTTCAATACATCAAAAGGTTTAAGGTTCAATACAGCAAAATGTCAAGATCCAATACAGCAAAGAGACAAGGTTTAATACAGAAAATGATCAAGTTCAATACAGCAATAGGTCAAGGTTCATTACAGCAATAGGTCAAGGTTCAATACAGAAAAGGTTCAATACATCAAAGAGTAAAGGTTCATTACAGCAATAGGTCATGGCTCAATTGAAGCATTTCGTGATATACAATGGGTACATATACGTAAAGACATGATCAAACAGTTTAAATACTAATTGACACCGTGTCATCTAAAAGAACCTTAATTTTGATGCAGAATATTTAATATACCCCTCTGACTATTCAGTTGTGTAGTGATGCTGTAGAGGGTTGAATTTGTATTTTGGGTCAGTTATAACTTAAGATTATAATTGCATTTACTTTTGAATTGTAACCATCACTCCTTCTATAGAATGTGTAACAAGTATTTACTAAAGTATTTTTCTGATTTTTAGTGTCCTTCATTTCCTGTACATTAAATAAACCTTTTCAATCTTATTTTTCACCACAATCCAAACTCATTTCATTTATGGCCATGTCGTTTTGATTCAGTGCTGTGTACATATATGGATGCTGTATTTCAACAGCTACATTCTATGTGTTTAATTGAGAGTCCAGACAGTAACAGTGAGCCGAATGACATGAACAAACAAATCGATCATTGAGTTTATACAGTGTACTTTCGAAATGTCGGCCACTGTGTTGGTATTGTTTTTAGTGTTTCAGGAAAAAACTATAGATTTTCGAAATTATTTATTATGTGAAAAGTTATAAAACTAACACAGATAATACTGGAGTTTGAGCATGTCTGTTACCCGAGGGACTTAAATGTAAGTAAGTTTTACATATGGGACACATGGACATTTGTTAGTCTACAGTTTACAGCAGGAGTACATAGAGTTTCAAATCTACCTCACAATGGTACTTACCAAGTGAGGTGGTTGCAAGGGCCAGCCCGGCAAGGAGTGATACGGCTAGTGACGTCATATCCGTGTTATCAGTGGTTACTTCCTGTCAAATTCTGTGTGTGGAGAAAATGTCAAACGTTAGTTTAAAAAGGCTTCAATATTCCCCACCAACAATTGACCACATGTTAAGTCTCACTTTTTACTGTTGAACATTGAATCACACTCCGTCGATTATGTTCAGCTTGACCATTGTTGTGTTCATCTATCAAATACACTTATCATACGCGTCAAACACGTACAACTCATATTATTCACCTAAATTAACAGGAAATAGCGATCTGGTCCTCTATACTAACAGAAAACAGAGTTTGATAGTCGGACGACTATATGATTCTATACAAATGTTAAGTCCTCGGACGGCGGCGGTTCTCTGGAGCTTTCTCCTCCGACTACAGCACAGGGACTTGAGAATTTGCTATAGCTATATTTGGACCTAAACTGAGGTGATCAGAGCAAACATTACATATTTGTCTTAACCAAAAGTTGAAATAAACCCTGATAGCCTGTTATATTACTCCGAACACTGCAGTTAAGGTCCAAATATAGCTGTTACAAATTATCAGGTCCCTGCGGACTAGAGGTGACTTCTCCTGAGCGTCGTGATATTGCCAAATACTTAAACACACCACCTCATTTCCTCGAATCCATAAGTGCTATATAGCGCGGAACACTTACTGTCCATGTGTGTTGGTGCATTGTTCATCATATCCCTGCGTTTGTTAAGTTTCGATTTCCTGTTGGTGATATAGTGCCCAAAATGGCGGGGATTTATTTGGAATAGCGACAGATTCCTCGCCATGTACGACTGCCGATATTCCTATGATCAATAGCTATATAGGGGTATAGATTTTCCGTCGGTTCTCTTTCTAAATGTCAGAGCTTCATTGGAGTCGCGCCAAATTTCCACACTGGGTTCTTATTACATTTTCTTGATTGGAAACTGTGCTCCATCTAAAGCAGGCCGCAAGAAAACAACGACCTCTCTTTCCCCTCCGACTATCCATTGTCCCTTTCTGTCCCTTCTCGCTTCCTCAAACCATCAGCTCTCTTCCCTCTCACCAACAACAGGTACTCCTCTCACTTTCCAAATACCGCCCCCCCCCCCCCCCCCCNCCCTCCCTAATTAATTGCCCCTCTTACTTTCCAAATGAACTCTCTCTCTTACCTCCCATTCTCCAACAATTGCCCGTCTCACTTCCCAAAGAAACCCTCTACAAACCGAAATAACACGTACCCCTGTCCAAAATGCACCCCTTTCCTCCCATCCACAAAAACACCTACACCCATAGGTATTCCTTGCACTTCATAAAGGAACCCTCTCGCTTCCCTTCCACCCCCACAATAACCCATCTCACTTCCTAAAGGCGCACTCTCTATTCCCTTAAACCACCCACATAGTTTACCTCTCTCACTTCCCAAAGTCACCCTCACGCTTCCCTTCCACCACCCACAACTATCTCTCTCACTTCCCAAAGTCACCCTCACGCTTACCTTCCATCACACACAAATATCTCTCACTTGCCCAAGTCACCCTAACGCTTCCCTTCCACCACCCGCACCTATCTCTGTCACTTCCCCAAGTCATCCTCTCTCGTCCCTCCTACTAACCACAGGTTCCTCTCACTATACCCTAACGTCTGCCATTAGGATATCCTCAGTGCGTTAGATTGGCAATGGGACGTTGTGTATCAGCTATATCCCTGACTGTTGGTGCTTTATTCCGACCACAATGATAGAACTTAGGATATCTTGTGGTCTTGTATTTAATGGACATTATGTATGTACAATGCGGTAACAGAAATGCCTAGTGATTACGTGAGAACCGTTCACCACGTGGTCTCCCATAAATATTAGATCTATATTCGTCGTAGATTGATCACACTCGTCCCGCTACAAAGCCAGTCTACTACAACATCGGTATAACGTCACTGTGTGACGTCACAAAACCAAAATTTTCAAATAATACCTATACGCAGAGAATATAATCGATGCCTAGATTTCCAAAAAATAATGATCATTCCAGCTGTATTTTGGCATCTTGAATATATAGCTTACTCTCTGGGTAACATAACAATTACAGCGTTACGCTATACATTACGCGTTACGTTATTATCTCTGTATTACGTTATTATCTGGGGGTACGTCATTATCTCAGAGATACTTATACGTTATAGTCTGTATTACGTCATTATCTGGGGGTACATCATTATCTCAGAGATACTTATACGTTATAGTCTCTGTATTACGTCATTATCTCAGAGATACTTATACGTTATAGTCTGTATTACGTCATTATCTCAGAGATACTTATACGTTATAGTCTGTATTACGTCATTATCTCAGAGATACTTATACGTTATAGTCTGTATTACGTCATTATCTCAGAGATACTTATACGTTATAGTCTGTATTACGTCATTATCTCAGAGATACTTATACGTTATAGTCTGTATTACGTCATTATCTCAGAGATACTTATACGTTATAGTCTGTATTACGTCATTATCTCAGAGATACTTATACGTTATAGTCTGTATTACGTCATTATCTCAGAGATACTTATACGTTATAGTCTGTATTACGTCATTATCTCAGAGATACTTATACGTTATAGTCTGTATTACGTCATTATCTCAGAGATACTTATACGTTATAGTCTGTATTACGTCATTATCTCAGAGATACTTATACGTTATAGTCTGTATTACGTCATTATCTCAGAGATACTTATACGTTATAGTCTGTATTACGTCATTATCTCAGAGATACTTATACGTTATAGTCTGTATTACGTCATTATCTCAGAGATACTTATACGTTATAGTCTGTATTACGTCATTATCTCAGAGATACTTATACGTTATAGTCTGTATTACGTCATTATCTCAGAGATACTTATACGTTATAGTCTGTATTACGTCATTATCTCAGAGATACTTATACGTTATAGTCTGTATTACGTCATTATCTCAGAGATACTTATACGTTATAGTCTGTATTACGTCATTATCTCAGAGATACTTATACGTTATAGTCTGTATTACGTCATTATCTCAGAGATACTTATACGTTATAGTCTGTATTACGTCATTATCTCAGAGATACTTATACGTTATAGTCTCTGTATTACGTCATTATCTCAGAGATACTTATACGTTATAGTCTCTGTATTACGTCATTATCTCAGAGATACTTATACGTTATAGTCTCTGTATTACGTCATTATCTCAGAGATACTTATACGTTATAGTCTCTGTATTACGTCATTATCTCAGAGATACTTATACGTTATAGTCTCTGTATTACGTCATTATCTCAGAGATACTTATACGTTATAGTCTCTGTATTACGTCATTATCTCAGAGATACTTATACGTTATAGTCTCTGTGTTACGTCATTATCTCAGAGATACTTATACGTTATAGTCTCTGTATTACGTCATTATCTCAGAGATACTTATACGTTATAGTCTCTGTGTTACGTCATTATCTCAGAGATACTTATACGTTATAGTCGCTGTGTTACGTCATTATCTCAGAGATACTTATACGTTATAGTCTCTGTGTTACGTCATTATCTCAGAGATACTTATACGTTATAGTCGCTGTGTTACGTCATTATCTCAGAGATACTTATACGTTATAGTCGCTGTGTTACGTCATTATCTCAGAGATACTTATACGTTATAGTCGCTGTGTTACGTCATTATCTCAGAGATACTTATACGTTATAGTCGCTGTGTTACGTCATTATCTCAGAGATACTTATACGTTATAGTCGCTGTGTTACGTCATTATCTCAGAGATACTTATACGTTATAGTCGCTGTGTTACGTCATTATCTCAGAGGTACTTATACGTTATAGTCTCTGTATTGTGTTATTATCTTGGGGTACGTCATTATCTCAGAGTTACTTATACGTTATAGTCTCTGTTTTATGTTATTTTATAATCTCTTAATTACGTTGTGATATTTGTGTATTACGTTAAAATCTCGGTGTTACGTTATAATGTCTGTGTTACGTAATAATGTCTATATTACGTTAAACGACTGTGTTACGTTATAATGCATTTTACGTTATGTTATAATGTGTGTTACGTTATAATGTTTGTGTTACGTTATAATGTGTGTGTTACATTATAATGTGTGTTACGTTATAATGTGTGTGTTACGTTATAATGTCTGTGTTACGTTATAATGTCTGTGTTACGTTATAATGTTTGTGTTACGTTATAATGTCTGCGTTACGTTATAGTGTGTGTGTGTTACGTTATAATGTGTGTGTTACATTATAATGTTTGTGTGTTACGTTATAATGTGTGTGTGTAACGTTATAAAGTCTGTGTTACGTTATACTGTCTGCGTTACGTTATCATGTGTGTGTTACGTTATAATGTGTGTTATGCTATAATGTCTGTGTTACGTTATAGTGTGTGTTATGTTATAATGTCTGTGTTACGTTATAAAGTCTGTGTTACGTTATAATGTCTGTGTTACGGTATAATGTGTGTGTTACGTTATAATATCTGCGTTACGTTATAATGTGTGTGTTACTTTATAATGTTTGTGTGTTACGTTATAATGTGTGTGTAACGTTATAATGTGTGTGTTACGTTATAATGTGTGTGTTACGTTATAATATGTGTGTTTCGTTATAATATGTGTGTGTTACGTTATAATGTGTGTGTTACGTTATAATATGTGTGTTTCGTTATAATGTTTGTGTTACGTTATAATGTTTGTGTTACGTTATAATGTTTGTGTTACGTTATAATGTCTGTGTTACGTTATAATGTTTGTGTTACGTTATAATGTCTGCGTTACGTTATCATGTCTGTGTTACGTTATAATGTGTGTGTTACGTTATAATGTTTGTGTTACGTTATAATGTTTGTGTTACGTTATAATGTCTGTGTTACGTTATAATGTTTGTGTTACGTTATAATGTCTGCGTTACGTTATCATGTCTGTGTTACGTTATAATATGTGTGTTACGTTATAATGTTTGTGTTACGTTATAATGTCTGTGTGTTACGTTATAATGTTTGTGTTACGTTATAATGTTTGTGTTACGTTATAATGTATGTGTTACGTTATAATGTTTGTGTTACGTTATAATGTGTGTGTGTGTTACGTTATAATGTCTGTGTTACGTTATAATGGGTGTGTTACGTTATAATATCTGCGTTACGTTATAATGTGTGTGTTACGTTATAATGTCTGCGTTACGTTATCATGTCTGTGTTACGTTATAATGTTTGTGTTACGTTTTAATGTTTGTGTTACGTTATAATGTGTGTGTGTTACGTTATAATGTCTGTGTTACGTTATAATGTTTGTGTTACGTTATAATGTCTGCGTTACGTTATCATATGTGTGTTTCGTTATAATGTTTGTGTTACGTTATAATGTCTGTGTTACGTTATAAAGTCTGTGTTACGTTATAAAGTCTGTGTTACGTTATAATATCTGTGTTACGTTATAATATGTGTGTTTCGTTATAATGTTTGTGTTACGTTATAATGTTTGTGTTACGTTATAATGTTTGTGTTACGTTATAATGTCTGTGTTACGTTATAATGTCTGTGTTACGTTATAATGTCTGTGTTACGTTA